TAGTCACTGGGGCAATGGCCAGAGTCCAAAGGCCAAGAGCAGGGGCGTCAGAGAAGCAGGCACACGGGCTGCAGACCTGCCTTTGGAAATGAGCGGCAGTGACAGCACCTGGAAGGGCGGGAGGCCGCAGGGACACACTTGAGAGAGAAAGATTTTGCTTAAAGGACTTTCTTTTTGCCACAATGACTAGGAGATATCAGATTTAAACAACTACCTTGTATAAAATTGATTGACACTTCATAACAAAAGGTATAGGTTAAATTCATATGGCCTGTCAGCTTATTTTATCAAGCAGCTATTGATTTTAAGCTGCAATGAAAGGTAAAATTACATGCAAGGAAAAAATAACGTGAACAGTGCCTAAAAGGAGCTTACCTATTCCAATCGGCTGTCTCTCACGTGGATTTTCTGATGGTGCTAAAATTTCATGGTTTTTCTCTTCCTCTGATGGTACAAATGTCTAAAAAGTCCAAAGCACCATAAAAAATAAGTTAACTGAGGTTTCTATAACAAGAAGGCAAGGGTAACCTCACGTGAATTAAGCAAACACACCCAGCATCTTGTAACAATATACAGTGTGCTTTTATATTCCAGCCTTTAAAACCAAAAAATAAAAAACAAACAAAAAAATCAAGCTAATCTCATCCATCAGTGGCCGTCCTGCTACTTTGTAAAGCTTAGTACAGCACACAGGGCCCCTCCTGGTCAGGTCCTGGCCCTCGCCAGGTTTACGTGGCACCACAGCCTACCCTGAACCATGGCAGCACCCGGGGCTCAGCACCGGCCCTTCCCCCGTCTAGAACACGCTTCTTTGACTGGAAGGCTCTGTTTCCTTTCTCCTCTGGTAAACTTCCACTCTACTTGCAAACTCCCACTCAGTGTCCTCCTTGCAAGCCCTCCATCTGCATCCCCATTGCTCCTGCTGGGCAAGTCGAGGTCCCTGTGCACTGCTCACAGCCCCAGGCTTACTGCTATCCTGTCATTTATACTGGGAGGGGGGCAGGAGACCAGGCTGAAAAAGGGGGTGTGAAGACTAAATTATGTAAACCACATTGGCCGTGATGAAAAACTAGGTTTTATTCAAAGTATGATGGGAAGCCACCGGAAATTTTAAGCAGAGTAATGACGTGACCTATTTATGTTTTTCAAGATAACTCTCAGAGCCTCGTGAATCACAGATTGGAGGAGGGGCCGGTGAGGAAGGAAGTCCATGGCGGGGACACTACTGAAGTAGCGGCTTAGACTACGGTGGAACTGTAGAAACAGAAACAGATGGTCTCACGTTCTATTTTGAAAATGGAACCTGTAAAAATTGGCAATGGATTACATCTGGGGTGACAGGGAGAAACTGAGGGTGACTCTTGGGTTTCTGGTTTGAGTAAATGGAATTGATAATGGCACTATTTACTGAGATTATTGAAGTTCTTTGCTCCCACCACCCCCACAGGATGAAACAAAAACAATACTTAAGCATCTTATGTCCAATGAAAACAAGAGCTATTATAGCTATACTGCAGAAGTATACACACGTCTATACACGGGCACTGGTCCTTACACGAGTCGCACAGCTCAGCATAACTGAATTATCAGCCATACCTCAGTCTTCAAGTTGGCTTTCAGCTCCAATCCCCCCGAAACAGCCAATGGAGACTCTTCATTGCCTAATGAAATTCAAACCATTAAAACCAATTTAAGAATTTGCTTACATAGTACATGTAAAAGGTAACAAAATGTCTCATCTAGCACGCCATGCCCCTTTCCTGTTTTATCTGACAGTCAGTAGAAAACAAGAAAAAGGAATATAGATGAAAAATCTCCGGGGAAAGGCAGGGATCGTTTACTTTTTTTTGCGAGGGTGGGGTGTTGAAATTGTTTCTTGCTGTTAAGATGGATGCCCCCCAAAAATGATACAATATTATTTGTGGAGAAATCTTATTTCCAAGAGTTTCTCTACAGTGATCTGTATCAAGTTTGTGCCTAAAAGAAAATGTTCTGGGCCACTGAGGCATATTCTTGATAAAGGAGGTGATCGATGAATAGACTCACTTAATTTGCTTTATGCTGACACAGCAAAATCAAACATACTGTTAAAAAATTGAGGCAGACAAAAAGAAAATGGAATTTTCTCTGGTGGAGACCCAAGTCTGTCCCTGTTTTGGGCCTTTCTTTCTTTCGCTCCCCTGTCCTTCGTTTCTCACCCGCCCACACATAAGCCTCCAGAGAAAATCCTTTTCTCCAAGAGGCTGCAGGCCTTGCCTGGCTAAAGCGCTTCTGCCTTCGGGGAAAACAGGGAGGCCACAGGAGTGACAGACTGTAACTACAATCAAGTCATAAAACTTTCAGGGCATTCAACTCACCCCAGGCTAAATTCAATGGAAAATTTTAAACTTAACTTATTTCAACCCTTGGAACATTTCTGAATGTCTCCTATTTAAGTCTCTATAATGAACAGGACTAAATCTAGTGGCCTCAGCTCTGAGGCTGCCTGACATGATATTTAAGGTCTGTTCCAGTTTGAAAGCCCAGGATGCCACAATTTGTACAGGCCGAGTGGGAAAGAAGGCAACGTCCCTGACAACCCCCCCACCCCCAAGACCAGCCCATGTCCCATCGAGTCCTCATAGCATCCTATGCCTAACTCAGTTCTAAGTACCTGTCACACTAGTGCCACTGCCTACTTATACTGCATGGCTGGATTCGCAGCTATCTTCCCATCTTAACTATTTAACTTTGCGTCCCCAGAGCCCAGCACAGAAGTGGCTGGTATAAGGCGTCCCAAGTTGGATGCTATAGTCAGTGACTGAGCTCAAAGCTTACACCTTGAAAGTTGCCAACCATTTCTAACAAGATCGGCACTCTGCAATCTGTCAGGAAAGAACACATTTCATTTCCCTTTCAACCAAGTTCTAAGCCAGAAACTAACTCATTTTACCTGAACAAGAAACTCAGTTAAAAAAAAAAAAAGATCATGTACTCCCTTAAAGTAGCCAGCAGGATTGAACCACCACACACTGCAAATCTCTTCAATAAGATGAGAGTTGAAATGATGTTTGTTTTTGTGCTATTACCCCCATTTCATATGACAGAAAACTGAGGTTCAGAAGTAACTGTTTTCTAAAGGGTACCCAAGTACCATGCAAGTTACTTAAATTCTGTGAACCTATTTGCTCATTTGTAAAATGAGCGTGATAAAAAACCTACTCATTTCACAGGAGTTGATTGACGAGAAGCCTGAGGGTCAGGGAGTTCACGAGCTTGCAGCCGTCACACAGGTGACACGTGGCTGGCTAGCGGGCCACCCACCCCGCAGCCTCCTGCCTATGTCTTCCTCCCCCATGAAAAATCGCTTTAAGGTTCTAAGCTTTTAAACACAAGTTTGTTTCAGAGAAGCATGACCTGCAAGTTTGATAAGTTATTTTGTGACATTCTGGAACCAAAACCATTTTCTGGAAGGTGGTCGTAAATGTGCTCTACATACAATCAACTCTGTAAACTGCTAAAATTTGCAATTAGGATTCTCACCTATGTCACCCAAATCTTCAGAAGACACAGTGACCTCGCGGTCTTCCTTCTGGAATGACTTTGTCACGCCACCTTCTGCTTTCGCAGCAGACGCCTGAGCAGTCCATTTGCCACTGGGACCGCTCTTTCTGGTCAGGTCCAGCACGCCGGTAGGCGCTGGCAGGGCTACACCGTGGGCAGCGGAAAGGGCTGAGTGGGAAGGCGCAACCTCTGCTTCCCGACCATTAATACACTCGGCGGTGGTGGTTTTCAGAGAGCCCTCAGGCTCCCGCTGGGCAGGAGGAAGAGAGGACAGTTCTGCGGTAGCGTCTCTGACATGTGGCATGTCGTTAGCTATGTTAGCACCTGTGCTCGCTGCTGTCAAAGAGCGAATACTGACAGAGGTGTCCTCAGTCGTCTGCCCAGACGTTGGCTCTGGCCCTCTCAGGTGGACAGGTGAGTCAGCAGTCCTGGCCACGCCCCTCCCCGCCGAACAACTGGCTGTGGCGCGGTCCCTCGCCATCCCTGCCTCAGGGCTTTCCTCTTCTGTGGGGACGGAGCCCATCAGTACACCCTTCTCGTCTGGCTGGCCGCCCTCTGCAGGGAGCACGCTGACGGGCGCCCTGTCGCGCCCTTCCTCCGCACTCACTCCTTTTCCTTCTGCGAACGGCCCAGGACACGGACAGGTGTTCTCGGCCATCAGGCTGGGCATAGGGGCCTCACACATGCTCTCCTTTGCAGCGGACAGGTCAGCTTTTCCTTCTGGGTTGCTCGCAGTCGGGTGATTCTCTTCGTGCCTGTCTAGGCCGGTGGCGAGCAGCACACATTCGGCCGTGCTGGTGGAGATGACGGCAGCATCGCTCGGGTCCTCCATTCTTGCGGCAGGGGGCTGGTCAGCCTCCTGTGGGACAGAGCCCCTCATGACGGCTTCACGTCCCTCAGAGGTGCTTGTGGAGATCATGGCGGTGTCACTTATCTCTTCAGCTGGTGTGACCAAGGGACGGACTTGTTCCTGAGGGATGGCACTGGACACTGGACCCTCACACTCTTCTCCCGAGCTTGTTGAGATGACAGCACTGCCATCTTTTTCTTCCATGGCTGTAGCAGACCGCTCGTTGGTGCTTTCTGCACCTACGCCAGAGACAGAGGCCTCACATTCTTCTGCTATGCTGGTGGAAATGAGCGCGTCGTCTTTGTCCTCCTTGCTGGTTGAGGCGTGGGGACTTGCAACTTCTGTGGGCGCGCTAGGCATAGGCACCTCGAAGTCGTCGGTGCTGACCGAGCCCGGGCCTTTGGCTCTTCCTTCGGCTGGCGTGGCGGGCTGCTGCCTTCCGGCACAGACGACGGTGGCTGCGCTGGAAACGGGCACCTCCAGCTCCTCCTCGATGCTGGTGGAAATCATGGCACACTCGTCTTTGTCTTCGCTTCTCATAGCGGTGGGCTGGCTCTCTTCTCCCGAAGCGGCACTGGGCATGGGGGCCTCGAAGTCTTCCGTGTGCCTGCTGGTGCCTTCCAGACCGTCCTCGCTTCTCGGGGCGCCTGAATGACCCTGCTCCACGTCGACGACCGTGCTGGACTGCGTGGTGTAACCATTCGTTGTGCTGGTGGAAATCATCAAGCCTGTGCCTTCACTTTTGCCCCCAGCCAAACAAGCCTGGTTGTTGACACTGTCACTGGCTGTGGACGCCATGAGGTCATCGCACTCTTCGTTTTCCACAGAGGTGATGACACCTTCCTCCTCCTTTTCCCTGGGCGATGTGTGATGGACCTCATATTCTGGGGCCGCCCCAGACACAAC